CTGCTAGTACTAATAATGATAATAAGCATTAAGGGAAGGTCTATAGTAGGAGAAAGAAGTATAACAAATAGTTAGTTGCTGAGGTGTAATTTCTGTTTGTATTCTGAATAGAATAAATAGCTGGGAAAGGGGTGTTAGTAAGGAGGCTGTTAGACAGTTTGTTGGGATTGGGAGAAGCTGAGATATTGGTATCTCGTTTCTTTGGAACTCTCTTCCACCATTAATGAAAGCTTCTGTTTCTTGAATTTTATTCTCTTTATTCTGATTTCAATACAAACCTGACAGTTCTATCAGATTTTTAGGAAAATGTGATTAGATTGATGTACATTATTAGAAAAATGTTACATTATTTTTTTCTGATTAGATTGATGTACATATTTAGTCGGATAGACTTAGTTAGTTGTAGATAAGCCCATAGTTATCTAGATCCTAATTTTTAGGATCTGTACTAGCTAGTAGTTATCTGTACAAAGTGTATTTATACTCTGGCCGTACGGCTCATCAATCAAGGAAGTTTTATTCCTAAAACTTACATGGTATCAAAGCTGGCCGTTTAAACACCACAATGGTGGAAACCGAGCACTCTGACTCTTCTCCCCACTCACAAACCCATAACCCTAACTCCCAGAATAGCTCAATGACAAACTACCAGACCTCAGTTCATTCATCTATGCTCATTACTGGCCATAGATTGAATGGCACAAATTATCTCGAATGGTCACAGTCTGTCAAGCTGGCTATTGATGCAAGGGGCAAGCTAGGGTACATAACTGGTGAAATAAAGGAGAAACAAACCGGTGATGATGGCTACAGTGTCTGGAGGTCAGAAAATTCCTTGGTGAAAGCATGGCTTCTAAGTTCAATGGATGCATCAATTGTCAAACCTCACATGTTCATGAAAACTGCAAAGGAGGTATGTAATTCCATTAAGGAAACTTACTCGGATCTTGAGAACTCTTCTCATATTTTTGAATTAAAAACCAAGTTGTGGCAGTCCAAACAAGAAAATAGAGATGTCATCTCTTACTATAATGAGATGGTATCCCTATGGCAAGAGTTGGATCAGTGCCATGATGATGAGAAGTGGGAGAGTGCCAAGGATCTAGCAAGACACCAAAAAAGGGAGGAAAATGATAGCGTCTACATGTTCCTAGCAGGAATTAATAGAGATCTAGATGAAGTTAAGGGGAGAATACTTGGAAAAAAAACTCTACCCTCTATCAGGGAGGTATTTTCTGAAATCAGGATGGAGGATAGCAGGAAGAAGGTTATGTACAGAATTCCAGTACATAATGAGGAATCTGGGGACTTTTCAGCAATGGTGGCTAGGAGTGATGACAAGAAAAAACCCTGGTGTGATCACTGCAAGAAATTATGGCACACTAGGGAGACTTGTTGGAAAATTCATGGCAAACCACCAGGAAAAGGAAAGAAAAAAACTGAGAAGGCCCTACAAACAACTGTGACTGAGACTCAACAAGAACCACAAGTCAAGTTCAATCAACTTTCATTCACTCAGGAGCAGATAGGGCAACTTCTTAACTTCCTTAATTCCCAGAAAACCCAAAATTCCTAGAAAGAATCCAAACCAGAATCTTCTTCTTGTTCTTATGCCCAAAATGGTACCTATTCATCATTTTTTTGTTCTGGGAAATCTAAAAATTCCTGGGTTATTGACTCGGGGGCTACTGATCACATGACCTCTATTTCAAATCTTTTTTCTTCATATAAACCTAGTGCAGGGGATAAAAAGGTTAAGGTTGCAGATGGTTCTCTATCGGCCATTGCAGGGATGGGAAATATTAGTATTTCCTCATCACTGAATCTATCCAAAGTCCTTCATGTCCCTAATCTATCCTGCAATCTTGCTTCAATTAGTCAAATAACTATAGATCTACAATGTTGTGTTATTTTTTATCCTTTTTATTGCATTTTTCGGGACCTGGCATCGGGGAAGATGATTGGCAGTGCTAAAGAGGAGGATGGACTCTATATCTTTGATGGAGAAACTCAATCAAATAAAAGAGGTCCAAGAAATGCTTGTTTGCAAACTGTTTCTTTTTCAAATAATAAAGATTTGTATTTACTTCATTATAGACTAGGACACCCTAGTTTCTATTATTTAAAAAAGATGTTTCCTCAATTATTTCTGAATAAAGATGCTTCTTTGTTTAATTGTGATATGTGTGCACTTGCAAAACATCACAGAAACACTTATTTACCCCACAGTTATAAACCTACTAGTCCTTTTACCTTGGTACATAGTGACATTTGGGGTCCATCTAGAATACCAACTTTAAAGGGAAAGAGATGGTTTGTAACTATTATTGATGATCATACTCGTGTCACATGGGTATTTTTAATCAAAGAAAAATCTGAAGTTGAGAAAATATTTAGGGCATTTTATGCTATGGTTCAAACTCAATTCAATACCAAAATTAAAATGGTAAGAAGTGATAATGGCCGTGAATATTTTTCTCAAACTTTTAACAACTTTTTTACTGAAAAAGGCATTATCCATCAAAGCTCTTGTGTCAATACACCAGCTCAAAATGGAATTGCAGAAAGGAAAAATAGACATTTGCTTGAAGTCACTCGTGCAATCATGTTTTCAACAAACATACCAAAATATTTGTGGGGAGAGGCAGTGTTACATGCTACTTATTTAATTAATCGCATGCCATCCAAAACTTTAGGATTTAAAAGTCCTATCAGTTCACTACAACACTTCTTTCCTACAAATAGATTGGTAAACACCCTTCCTTTAAAAAATTTTGGTTGCACAGTGTTTATAAAAAATCCAGATAGATCTGCAAGTAAGTTTGATCCTAGAGGAAAAAAATGTGTTTTTCTAGGTGTTTCTGCCACTAAAAAGGGTATAAATGTTTTGATCCTACAACCAAAACAATGGTTGTTACTATGGATACTTTTTTTGTGGAAGAACAACCTTTTTTTTATTCTCATCTTCAGGGGGAGAAATTAAGTGAAGATGTTCTAATAGTGCCACATATTCATGAAAACCTTAATTTTCTTGATATTAATCTGGGGATGATAATTTCTTTAGAAATATGAGTACACCTGAAAATTATCAAGAAATAAAAAATAATGAAGTAAATCCAACTAAACCAATTGAAAAGGATCAACAGACAAGCCAGTTCTTTGGAAAAGTTTATGAGAGAAGGGTTAGAAATCAAAGAATAGAGGAAGTCCAAGAACCTACAACTGTCCATGATTCTGCCTCAATGCCAGGAAGTGAAAAAGGTAATACTTCTAGCAACTTTGACCTTCCAATTGCTCTCAGAAAAGAGAGAAGAACATGTGTTAAATACCCCATCTCAAACTATGTTTCTTATTCTAAATTGACCCCAGACTTTGCAGCCTTTGCTTCCAATATTTCTTCTGTTTCTATTCCCTCAACCATACAGGATGCTCTATCTAAACCTGAGTGGAAGAAAGCTGTTTTGGAGGAGATGGAGGCTCTTGAAAAGAATCAGACATGGAAGCTTGTAGAGTTACCTAAAAATAAACCTACGGTTGGTTGCAGGTGGATTTTCACTCCCAAGTTTAAGGCAGATGGAAGTTTGGAGAGGTATAAGGCAAGACTAGTTGTCAAGGGTTACACACAGACCTATGGAATTGATTACACAGAAACCTTTGCACCAGTTGCAAAGTTAAACACTGTAAGAATTCTTTTATCTCTTGCTGCCAATTTAGACGGGCCATTACAACAACTGGATGTGAAGAATGCTTTTTTAAATGGGAAACTTGAAGAAGAAGTGTACATGGAACCTCCTCTTGGGTTTGAAACTAAGTTTGGGTCAAAAGTTTGCAGATTAGAGAAGGCTTTATATGGACTTAAACAGTCTCCAAGAGCCTGGTTTGACAATTTCACAAAGTTCATAAAGAAGCAAGGATTTAATCAAGCTCAAGCTGACCATACTTTATTTTTCTTATGTTCTTATGTTATTTTTATCTTTCTTATGTTCTTTTATCTTATAGTTATCTTTAACCTATCCTTTTTATCTTACCTAATCTTTTTATTTTTCTTATCTTTCTTTTCTATTTACTTTGATATCATGGATCGATTCATGTTAGCTGACCCCAAAATCTTTTGGGATAAAGGCTTGGATGTGGTTGTAGATGATGGTTTGATCTCATGGTGTTATGGATCATGATCATGGTTATGGTTATGGGTATGGTTATGATTATGTTTATAATTATGGTCAGAAATAATGACACATATATGTCTAGAATAAAGGCATTGGACAAAAGTGTGATTTTTTATGCTTAAGTGACTGTACTAGTAACTTTAGTGACATTGATGATATTCTATTTACATTGTAGTGACTATGATGATTTACTTGTAGTAACTTAAGTTATACTTCGTATTTTTGTCCATCACTTTTATTAAAGTGATGTTTATGGAAAAGCCTATTGTGGTGATGGTGGTGGTCATGGTCATGGTTTATGGATTGTGGTTGGTTATGTTTTTAGTTTTTACTGAAAAGATGATGATTTAATTTGATGGTTTAATACTCAAGTTACACTCCAATATGATTATGGTCTATGGAGTATACTCCAATATAATTTAGATGTAGAATACTCCCTTTGTATCTTATGGTCTATGGAGTACACTGCAATATAATTTAGATGTAGAATACTCCCTCTATATCTTATAACTTTGTCAAATTTGATCAACACGAAGTATAATAAAATAAAAAGAAAAAAATTGCGTGGTTAAGGTTTGTTCAAAGACGGAAATAATAAGAACCACAAATTAATTGATTAAAAGGGAAAGTGGCAATGGGACAACTCAAAAGGGAAAGATGACAAAGGTATAAGAGACAGGGGGAGTATTATGCATTTATTATTGTACCATGGAGTGAAACCCCGCCATAACAACACTGGGTGTGCCTCTTAAGCGGTTTTTTAAACCATGACAAAATAGACTCTTATGAATATCATAAGGAATGTTAATACAATTATACAAACAAGATCACCTTCACATAAAGTTTGCATTTGACTTCATGGACAACAGTGACTCCTATCTCTTCAACTTTCTTTACAGATGGACTGCCAGGCTGCTCTGTTTCACCATCTTCTATAACAACAAAAAGATCATGCAATCAACCAATGATAACAATAAAAAAAATATAACTGGAATAGTGTGCAAATGAAAAGGTATGTCACACTAAATTTGTCCAATTTCGCCAGTCCCAAAATTGAGTCGCATATCATTTTTGGTCATTTTGTGGGTTCAAAATCATCTAAACTTTACAATTTTAATATCAATCACACAATTCACTTTTCATGAAGCTACATGTCACTTCTCCTAATGCAATACTTTGTGGGGCGGATGCAATAATTCAGACAATATCTGATGCATTCTACGGAAAGACCTATCAACGCCGCAACATCAGTGGCAAATCCTTAGATGATTAAGCAGTTCATTATGGAAGAATATTAATTTCCTTTACAACAGATTTCTGATTTATTGTTTGATTGTTTTCCTTCATTAGACTACTTAATTACTTTCCTTAGTTAAGTTGATTTGCAACTTTATTGCTTTCCATCATTAGAAGAGTCTATTTTAAGAATTGATTTAATGTAATCCTCTCCTTCCTTACTGGTTTTTGTAACCCTTACTATAAGTACGAACCTTTGAGTAATAAACAAGCCCGAATTAAGTACTTATCAAGGAGAAAGGAACTCCATAAAGTTTTATCTCCTTCTCTGCCTTCCCTTATTTTCCGTTATTACCTGCATAAAAATAGAGGGATCCCATCTCCCTGCCCTCACCAACCGCCGATTGACGCGAACTCTAGTCCGGGAACATAACATTTTGGTTCTGTTGTCGGGCATCAACATGGCAGAATTAAAGAAACTCCAAGAGGATCTCACCGCCACAATGCAAAAGGTTGATGCCCTTACTGTCAGTGAATTCCTTGGCCGATGCTGTGAAGAACTTTGGTAGCCTTGCCAAAGTAACAGAAACTTTCATGGAGAAAAACAACTCTATTGCTCAGGTAACCTCTTTCACAACACACACAATACTTGTCTCTTCCACCGCCGTCCAGACTGAAATTAACCCTCCGACCCATTACACCAAACTGGAGTTTCCTACCTTTACGGATGCATAGGACCCGCTCGTTTGCTTGCGTCGTTGTGAACTTCTTTTTGAGAAAGCTTCTTATTCTGATTTGAAAAAGTTCACATTGTCGCGTACTACATGACTGAGATTGCTCAGTTGTGGTTTACCAAACGTCTACAAGATGGTGAACAATTCTCCTGGATCCAATTCAAGAAGGCTTGCATCCTTCGCTTTGGTCCCCCGCAAAGTATTAATCCCCCGGGAGAACTTGCAAACCTCAAACCACGGGGTAAACCTATCAATGATTATATTGCAGACTTCCAAACACTCCTTTCTCGTACTATGATGTCCTCTATCGTCAACAACTTCCCCTATTCAATGCTGGCCTAGATGAAGCACTTTGTATTGATGTTGAACGAATGAGACCAGATTCGTTAGATGAGGCCATCAATGATGCCCGAGATTATGCCCGCCAAGGCCAATTGTTGCGCAGTTCTTCAGCCAATCAACAAGCTCATATGTCCCCAGGATCTGCAATCATTGTTTTAAATTGCGCAATGCAATTAAGCAATGAGGCGCGCCTCACCCAAATTCAGGAGAATTGTGCATAATTGCATGGCTAAAGGTGGATGTCAAGAATCGTACGCTATGTGGCGCAGAGGCGTACGCAATTAGCAATGCGTCATAAGGCATGTTGAGGCGTTCGCAATAGAAATAAGATTATTTGTGGGCTGATAGGGCCCAATTTTTTAATTTTTTAGTTCGTTAATAGTACTACATATTTTTTAAGGCTTGTCGCTTGTTGCCAACTCACAAATCCAAGTCTCCGCTTCTGCTTAACCCTTCTTCTTCCAGAAGATCAACCTGCGTTTCTGTCTTTCTGGCTTACTGCTACTTCATCTGCGCATCCTAGGGCTCTCAAGCAGGAGACCTGTGTTACTGCTTTTTCATCGTTGCAATAGGTGGTAAATGTTTTAGGCTTTTAGACTTTTAGGCCTCTCAATTAACTCCATTGTTTTAGTTAGTAATATATGATTTTCATACTAAGTATTTAATTGTGATCGTTTTAATCTAATATTTCCCATCGTTTTGATACAGGAAGTTAATACTACATATTATCTTAATATTTGTAGAAAAATGTAACATGTATTTGTTATTTTAATTTTATGTACATCCGGAACTGTATAGATAAGACTTAGAGTAGATAGAACTCTTTAACTAGTAGATAAGCTCGCAGAATAGATAGATCCTATTATTTAGGATCTGTAACAACTAAGCTTTATCTGTAACTTGTATATATATCATTGCCGGATGGCTCAATAACATTCAAGGAAGATTAATTCTTCAAACCTACATGGTATCAGAGACTCGGTTTAAACAACACAATGGTAGAAACCAGTTATGCTGATTCCTCACACACTATCAACCCTAACTCCCAAATGAGCCTTATGACAAATTACCAGTCTCCTATTCATTCATCTATAATAATCACTAGTCATAGATTGAATGGAACAAACTATCTGGAATGGTCTCAATCTGTCAGACTTGCAATTGATGGGAGGGGAAAGCTAGGTTACATCACAGGAGAAATCAAATCAAAACTACCTGCAGAAGAAGGTTACAGTACATGGAGGTCAGAGAATTCACTCATAACAGCTTGGCTTCTCAACTCCATGGAGCCCTTAATTGCCAAACCTCATATGTTTATGAAAACTACAAAGGAGGTATGGGACTCTATTAAGGAAACTTATTCAGATCTTGAGAACTCTTCTCAAATTTTTGAACTCAAAACCAAGTTGTGGCAATCTAAACAAGGAAATAGGGATATCATTTCATACTACAATGAAATGGTATCTCTGTGGCAAGAATTAGATCAATGTTATGGTGATGAAGAGTGGGAGAGTGCTAAGGATTTGGCCAGACATAAGAAAAGAGAAGAGAATGATAGGGTCTATATGTTTCTAGCAGGGATCAATAGGGACCTAGATGAAGTAAAAGGCAGAATACTCAGAAAGAAACCTCTGGCCCCAACAAGAGAGGTCTTTTCTGAGATCAGGTTGGAATATAGCAGGAGGAGGGTCATGTACAACACTCCAGTATCTAATGAGGAACCTGGGGACTCTTCAGCTTTAGTGGCCAGAAGTGATGACAAGAAAAAACCTTGGTGTGATCACTGCAAGAAATTGTGACACACAAGGGAAACATGCTGGAAACTTCATGGAAAACCACCAGGAGCTGGAAAGAAGAAAGTTGAAAGGGCCCTACAAACTACTGTGATAGAGACTCAACAAGAGTCAGGAGTTGAATCTAAACAACTGCCTTTCACATAGGAACAGATAGAGTACCTACTCCAATTTATACCCACCTAAAAAATCTCCAACCAAGAAAACCCTTCCTGTTCTTTTGCCCAAAATGGTAAAGTAACATCATTTTTTTGTTCTGAAAAAACAAAAAGTATCTGGGTCATTGACTCAGGTGCAACAGACCACATGACCTACATTCCAAATCTCTTTTCTTCATATCAACCTTGTGCAGGATATATGAAAGTTAGAGTTGCAGATGGCTCTTTTTCAGCAATAGCAGGGATGGGAAATATTAAAATTTCCTCATCCATTCACCTTTCTAAAGTCTTACATGTTCCTAAACTTTCCTGCAATCTTATCTCTGTTAGCAAAATAACCAAAGACCTTCAGTGTTGTGTAAAGTTTTATCCTTCTTATTGCATTTTTCAGGATCTGGCATCGGGGAGGATGATTGGCAGCGCTAGAGAGGAGGATGGCCTATATGTTTTTGATGAAGGAACACAATTGAATAAACAAGGTCAAGAAAAAACTTGTCTGCAAACTATTTCCTTTCCTTGTAATAATGAAGTGTATTTAATGCACTATAGATTAGGTCACCCAAGTTTTTCCTATCTAAAGAGGTTGTTTCCTAAGTTATTTCATAATAAAAATCCTTCATCATTTCATTGTGATATGTGTGCACTTGCCAAACATCATAGGAGCTCTTATATCCCTCATAGTTACAAACCAACTAGTCCTTTTACTATTGTACACAGTGATATTTGGGGTGCATCTAGAGTTTCAACTTTGAAAGGAAAAAGGTGGTTTGTAACTATCATAGATGATCACACACGGGTCACATGGGTTTTTTTTATTAAAGAAAAATCTGAGGTTGAAGATGTGTTCAAGAAATTTTACTCAATGGTTCAGACTCAATTCAATACTAATATCAAGATTGTGAGAAGTGATAACGGCCTTGAGTATTTTTCTAAGAATTTAAATAATTTTTTTGCTGAAAAAGGGATTATTCATCAAAGTTCCTGTATAAATACACCTGCTCAGAATGGAATAGCTGAGAGGAAAAATAGGCATTTGCTTGAAGTCACTCGTGCAATTATGTTTTCTGCTGGAGTTCCAAAATATTTATGGGGAGAAGCTGTTTTACATGCTACCTATTTAATTAATAGGATGCCATCAAAGACTCTAGGATTTAAAACTCCCATTAATACACTTCAAGCCAGTTTTCCTGAAACTAGGCTTATCAACTCTCTTCCCATAAAAAATTTTGGCTGCACAGTTTTTATTACCAACCCAGACAGAACTGCAAGCAAATTTGATCCTAGAGGCAAAAAATGTGTTTTCTTAAGACTGTCTTCAACACAGAAAGGCTATAAATGTTTTGACCCTACAACAAAAAAGATGTTTATAACAATTAACACTATTTTGGTTGAAACTCAACCTTTTTTAGTACTCATCTTCAGGGGGAGATTCCTAATGAAGATGGTAATAATGTGTCACATATCCATGAAAAACTTGAATTTCTTGACATTAGTCTAGATGCACAATATAATAGACAGTTAGATGCACTAGAAAATAGTCAAGAATCAAAAGAAAATGAAATAAAATTTTCTGAGACAAGGAAAGATGATGAACAGCGGACAAGTAAATTTTTTGGCAAGGTTTATGAAAGGAGAGTTCCAAATCAAAGAATAGAGGACATCTCTGATC